AAAGTTCTTCTGGATGGGAATGATATATTGATATTTTACCTCATTTCAATCCCACTTCATTGTGTTTTTATCCCATATTTTCAAATCATTTAGGCATTAACAATTTTTTCGAATTATTCCTAAGTTGAATTTGATGGTTAAACCAGTCTCAATTTTTTCACCAGTTGAGACTTTGTATGAAGCATTAATGGATTAGTGAAAATTGTTGAGACCATAAAAAAGTTGTATTCCCTTCACACCCTTAGTGAATGGAAGCAAGTACCTTCTACGTAATTTAAATGTGAACAATGATTTGTCTGCTATCGCTGTGGGACTCTTGCTATTTGCAGATTAGCTTATTTGGATCTTGTTGTACTTTTAAAGATATGCTAGAGTTCAACATGTAGTAATCAGTTTTTCTTAGTTCAACATGTAGTAATCAACATGTACTTAGATATGCCATTTTTCTTTCTCTTCAAGTAGGAAGATCTTGGGTCGGTAAATCTTGGCTTAGGAGCATTGTTGGGCTTTTGTTGAGTTCACTTCATGAAAAGACAGTACATAAGCCCATCAACTTTATCTTCTCTTTTCTTTTGTGAAGTTGATCCAAAATCCAATTACTTTCGTTTGTTTTCTTTAAACATCTATCTATACAAGCTACTTTTCTTTGTTTTTTTGATAAACACACAATTACTTTCTTTATACCAAAGTGTTTGTTCGTACAAACTACAAAGTATTATTAGGAAATTACATGTGTTATGTTGATAATCTGAAAAGAAAAATTAGAGACAGGATCGACGAAAGCTCCGATGTGGGAGGAGTAGGGGACCATCTTCAAGACTGACACGTGTATATTCTTTCCAAGTGATCACCACAGATACAACTTTGGAAGTTCTAATTAGTTCCACTGATCTCCATTATTACTTGAGATTATTTTACAACGTGAATTAAGAATCCCAACCACACTTGAGTTCATTGGAATCAACTCCAAACCATTTTAAAAAGAAGATATTATACACATGAATACTTTCTTCCATTTCAATTTTATTGGCTGCTGATTCAAATATCACTAGTTAATTATGCACGTTAGGTTTTCCGTCCATCGATTCGAGGTTTTGGAGCTAACTAGATATTGATTTGTCCAATTTATAATTTCTAGATTCAAACTAAAGTATTCATGTGTTGTTGATAAGACAATATTATGATCATTACATGAACTTTATAAATTAATTTAATAATACATACGAGTTTTAAACATATTAGAGTTGATAAATGATGTGTCAATTGTTGGTAATGTAATACTTGTTTATCAGATAAAAACATCAACCGGGTAATGAATTTTTAAAATGAAAATAAAAAGAGTGATGTGCGTTCTGTAATAGAAGTGTTATCAAAAATATAGATTAAACATCATGGAACATATGTTAAAGAATTCATATACAGTATACGTTAAATTCGGAATAAGAATTCGATAAAGCATAATAATTAATAAATTTGAAGCTCAGTCCTGGCTTAATGAATACGATTGATTAACAAGTTAATTAATAAGGATAAAAATAATTAAAAAAAGACTTCAACGTGATGGTGCATTCATACGTATAAGTATTCCTGAGAACTTTTTGATAAAAAAAAAAAAAAAGTATTCATGAGAACCTAGCTAATATTAGCTAGGTTGAACCTAGCTAATACGTAAAAGATTAATCTTTAATACCGGCAAAAAAAAAAAAAAAGCTAATCTTTTATATTTCTCTATAAACAATCTCTTAGCATATGGGCAAACAAATAATTTGGAAAGTGCGATAGGTTTCCGAGAGATCGTAAAATTTTAATAAATCTACTTTTACTTTTCCAAAAAAATATTGTTAGATTATGATCGTTTGATTAGTGTAGGACTGTAGATACTTTAATAAGATGCTGGTAACTTGGATACATGTTCCTCGAACGAAAGATTTGTGACATTATTGCATACCACTTTTGATTAATCAACTTTTCGTACATGTGATTAATCGATGGACCACCCATATATTTATATATAACATCTCACAAAGCAAAATTAAGACCATCCAATTAATCAATATCTACATAAATGCTACATACATAGCTATATCTATGCACATTGTTTCTAAACACTTAAGAAGATGTGTATTCCTAGAAAACCTGAACATTTTGTAGGGTTTAGTGAATTCATGCTATGACAACGTGAAATGTAAAAGATCTGACGAAAATAGTAATAAGAAAGGTGTTGGGAGGAGTGTGACATGGGCTTGAAAAGCTCCACAAAAGGGAATTGGTTATAGGAACGTGTACGTACACGGCCCCGTGAGCTTGTAAAACTCTTGCAAAAAGTCAGTATATTCACTCAATTATTGGAGTTTATGGTCCTTAATTAATTTTTTTTTTTCAAGTAAAGAAATCAATGATTTAGGTTTCACAGTGGTGGCAATTTGCCTCTTCTTCTTTTTTGGTTTTATCTTTACACATGTGACAAAAACTTTTAAAATTTAAGTTTTGTATAAATTTTGTTTTTTCTTGGCGGCATGCATTATAAAAAGGAACTCTTTAGTTGTATTTAATTTGTTTTAATTTGTTGATCCACTAACTTCTTCAATAAACACATCAAAATGAATGTGTATCAAATCAACTTTAGGAGGTGGATTCCGCCACCTCTATCTTATGTGCTTAGTACATAAAAAATAGTAGTTTCTTTAAAATTGTACGAATGAATGATATTCATAACGAGCTTTAATCGGACC